CAGGGTCATAGGATGGGAGGGCGGGACATGGGAGGGACCAGGCTGGGGTGTGGGTGTAAGGGGCTGGGCTGTCCACCCTGCAGGACGCAGGCAGATGGGGTCGGGGCGGTGCAGAGGGCCTGGCGGGCGTCAGCTGCAGCTCTTGGGCAGGCGGTACACGCCGGCCGCATAGACCAGCTGCTGGTCCCGCACCTTCTTCTGCAGGAAGGCCTGCAGCTCCTGCAGGTCGATCTCGGCCAGAGCGGGCCCGGTGACCACGAACATGCGCAGCATGCTGTAGATGCGCTCCAGCGACAGGCTCTCCAGGTTGGTCAGCATGGCCTGGATGTACGTCCAGAAGAGCTGAGGGGACAGCAGGGTGTCAGCCCCACCACCCCCGGCTGCCGCCCTGCCGCCCGCCCGGGAGCCCCCGCGCACCAGCAGCTCCTCTTCCTTCTGGTCGGCCTGGGAGGCCATGCCAGAGTCGCTCTCGTCGTCACTGTCGATGAGCACCATGTTGTCCCGGTCCTGGGGCCGCTCCTCCTCCACCACCGAGAAGGTGCCCGGGGGCTCCTCCCGCAGCACGCCCTGCTGCAGCCACACCGCCATCCGCCTCCGCAGCAGCGCCACCGGCATCTTCACCACCTTGCTCAGCGCCTCCAGGGTCCAGCTGGCTGTGCGGGCGGAAAGTGGCCAGGCATGGTGGGCGGGCTGGGCCCACCCTGCCCACCCCTCCCAGACAGCAGGGCAGGGCCTGGGCCCAGGCCCGGCTGGCTCACCTTGGTCCTGGAAGTATAACAAGACCACGGCCTGCACAGGGGTAACGGCCACAGACAGGGTGCGGTCTGCCAGCTCTACGTCCATGGTCACCAGGCCCAGTGTGTGCTTCCAGCTGAGGGTCCGCATGGCCTGTGGAGGGTGGGGTGAGCCCAGGCAGCTGGCTGGCCCAGGTGAGGACAGGGTTCCGACCTGCTCCCCTACCTGGGCAGCAGCAGCAGCAGGGAGAGTACAGGTGGGGCTCTGGGTCCCCCATACACTAACAGTGAGGACCCAGCAAGGATGGCTTTTAGAAGCTGAACTGTCTTGCACACCTTCGCCCCAGGACCCGACTTGGGAGCAGGCGGTCACACGTGTAACCAGTTAAGGTGAGGGCACCTTGGCGTCCACTGGGCCCTCACATGATGTGACTGGTGTCCTCGTAAGAGGAAGGACACATCAGACAGACACGGGAAGATGGGGGCAGAGTCTAGGGTGACATGGCCACAAGCCAAGAGGTGCCAGGGCTGGCCGGCACCACCAGGAGCTGGAAGAGGCCGGGAGGACTCCCACAGCCCGCAGAGGGCGCAGGGCCTGGCACCTGGGTGTCCGACTCTGGCCTCAGAACTCACAAGAAGTCTGTGGAGAGCCACCTGGCCTGTGGCTCTTAACTATGGTAGTCACGGGGAACAGGTTTTAGTCTGGGAGGGGGAGGGCTACTCTATCAGATACTGAAATAGTGGGTATGGGCCTGGCCGGTGTGGCTCAGTGGTTGAGCGTCAACCCATGAACCCAAAGGTCATGGCTCAATTCCTTTGGTCAAAGCACATGCCCAAGTTGTGGGCTCGATCCTCAGTACAGAGTGTGCAGGGCAGCTGATCAGCATCTCTCTCTCCTCCCCCTTCTGAAGTCAATAAAAACATATTTGGGAAAGGGACTTATTTAGAAAAATATATAGGGGACGTGGCCATGGAGTCGGGGACGGTAGAGGCTGGGAGTTCAGAACTGCATGCTCAGAAAAGCCTGGATTGCCTCGAAGGGACAGGTACTAGCAACGGGGGCAGTAAAGGGCACCCTGTGCAGTCTGCTGAACAAGGAGCACGGTGCCGGAGCGTGGAGGAAAGGTGGCGGAGTCCTGCCTGAGCTGTCCTGCTGGGTGGAAGCAGCACTGGCAGGTGCCAAGCTTGGATACTGAGCCCAGGTTCCAGAGCCGGGGGTGGGAGGTACAGCCCAGTCCCTTCTTGTAAAGAAACTGGTAAGCACAGGCCGACACTGGGTAACTGGGTGCTCCGTGAGCTCTGGAGCCAG